CCCACACCCCACCCCAAAGGTCGCGCCCTACCCCGGGGCCCTGAGCAGCGGTACGCTGGAGGAGTCCGGGTTCGAGGCCCTCAGAGTGGCGGTGTGCAAGGCGCGTGAGCGCGCAAACAAACCCGCGTTGCGCCGTCTCGCTGGCTCCTGTCCGCGGCCATCTCACCGGCGCGTCACCAGGCTGGCACTCCGCTAGGCCATGCGCGCTGCTCCCAACAGACACACTGATTTGGTGTCTTGCATCGGCGTGCAATACGGTTTTCGCCCGCCCTGCCGCGCCCACGTCATGCATCTCACACTCCCATGGCGCTGCCCCACCCCAGGAGCTCGTGAGCCTCGGCGCCGGCGCGCGCTCCGCCGCAGACCCCTTTTCGAACGGCGGCCGCCACCTGCCGCCGCGCGCGTTCCACGACATGCTGGAGCGCGCCGCGGCGGAGGGGGCCGGGGGCGGCGGCTGCCAGACGGTGCTGATCGACGCGCGCAACGCGTACGAGACGCAGATCGGGAGGTGCGCTCGGCTGCGGTTGTGCGTCGGCAAACGCATGTGCTGGCGGCTGCGTACTACTTCTGCTGTGCGCCTGTTACGCACGCTTACCGCGCACCTGAGCTGAGCGCCTGTTGAGGTGCCGCGCGAATGGACGGCGACCAGCAGTCGGTTTCCGTATTGCCAGCAAGCACGAGGCCGCGCGGCGCCAGCTTGCCGCGGCCCGACCCCTTACAGTGCCCCGCGTTCCCAGGTTTGATGTCAGCGGCGTTGAGCTGATGGATCCGCGCACTCGGGCCTTCTCCGAGTTGCCAGGTGCGCTTTGGCCCGCAGCGCCCGCGGCCCACCGTCCGCCGGAGTCACGGCAGGAAGCTTGGTGACTGGGGTGTCCAGCTGAGTAGGTGGTTCAGGCCTGACTGACCGCGCTGCCAGCAGTGCACCGAATCTCCCCAACCAGCTTCCCCCTTCCCCTCACCGCTAAACCCCATTCCCATCGGACCCCGTTGATTTCCCCTCACATCCACTTTCAACAGCGCACGCATGCACACACATGCACACGCACACGCTCACGCAAACGCACACGCACACCGCACGCACACCGCACGCACGTTCACACACACATGCACACACGCACATACACACAAACACACAGTCTTCTCTGCCCGGGATTCCCACTCGCGGACTCACCCCTTCTGGCGCTGTCCCCATTCGCCGTGCCGCCGCAGCCTGGATGGACGCCCATGAGTCAGCGCTGGCTGGCAAGAGGGTGCTCATGGTGAGGGCCCCAATGCCCTCCGCCTTTCGAGCTGGCAGACGCGCCAAGCCTCAGCCGGCCCACTCCTGCCTGCCGCCAGCCACGAGCGGCACCCCTGCGCCCTCAACCCGCGGCGTTGCGGACCAGCAGCGCAGGGGCGCGCGTGCGTACGCCTCGGCTGGCGGTGACGTCCTCGGGGTCGCAGCGGGAGTGGCCGGCCCGCCGGCCCAGCCTCAGGCTCTCGATCCTGCCGCGCTCCAATGTGCGCCATCACCGCCCCCACACCCTCCTCTTTTCCTGCAGTACTGCACCGGGGGCGTGCGCTGCGAGCGCGCGAGCGCTTATCTGCGTGAGAAGGGGCCCGCCTTTGCCGAGGTCTACCAGCTGTCCGGCGGCGTGCAGCGCTACCTGGAGGAATTTCCGGACGGCGGCCTCTTCGCGGGCAAGCTCTTCGTGTGAGGCGGCCCGCCTTTGGGAGGGGGTGGGGAGGCTGTCCCCCAGGGGTTGTTCCTGTAGCTTTCTGGCGGCCTGCGGCGGTGGTTGGCGGTGTTTTGGAGACCCTGGGGCGCCGCTGGGGGCGCCTGCACAGTGGTTGACACCACGGGTGCAACTTGGGCCCGTCACAAGATGGGAAGCTGCTGGGTGAGGGATCCCAGATATACTGAATAATCTGTGTGCTCTGGGTCACTTGGCGGTGCGAGGCGGCCGCGCTTGATGCGAGCTTGTCGTACCTGCGCTCAGATGCACGGGCTGCATTCTGCGCGCTGCACCTCTCACCCTAAACCCTAAACCCTGGACCCTAACCTCTCTTGTGCCCAGATACGACCCGCGCGGCAGCATGGCCCCGGAAATCGGAGCCTCCCGCTGCATCGGCCGCTGCGTCGGCTGCACGGCGCCCCACGACGACTACGCAGCCCGCGCGCGGTGCGGCGCGTGCCGGCAACTGGTGCTGGTGTGCCGCCGCTGCGAGGCGCGCGAGCGTGCCGGGGCCGCGGCGGGCGCGAAGGCGCCGGCGTGGGAGTGCGGGCTCTGCCGCGAGCGGCGGTGGGCGGGCAGCGGCGGCGGCGGGGCGGCGGCGAGCCGCACTGCCGCGCCCAGCGTGGCGGGGAGGGCCGCGGCGGCCGCGGCGGCGACCGGGGCGGGTGGGGTGACGCCAGCGAGGACGCGGAAGCTACGGATATTGTGTCTGCACGGCTTCCGCCAGAACGCGCACCAATTCAAAGTGAGCCGTGCTTCTGAGGGCCGCATCACCTGGCAGCGACAGCTCGAAGCCCTCGCTTTGCACGAACCCCTCTCGGCGCTCGCGAATCCAGTTCCGACCTTTCCTGCGGTTGCGAGCGACGCCGCCTCCATGCTCCCCCCTTCCCCCCGGCACCTCCACACCCCACCACGCGCGCAGGCTCGATCCCAAGAGCTGCGAAGGGCGCTTGCTGACGTGGCAGAGTTGTTGTACGTGGACGCGCCCCACCCCCTGCCGCTGTGGTACAGGCCGCGGGACGAGGCAATGGCTGGTGAGCGCGGCGGGGACGCACGGTGGCAGGAGCAGCAGCAGCAGGAGCAGGAGCAGCAGCAGCAGCAGCAGCAGCAGCAGCAGCAGCAGCAGCAGCAGCAGCAGGACCAAGGAGGGGGCGCGGCGCGCGACAGCCCTGGCGATGGAGCGGCTGAGGTCACACTCGACAGCGGCGACAGCGCCGGCGGCGGCGATGGCGCGGAGGGCGGGCGTGCGCTTGAGCTGCGACGCCAGGACGAAGCGTCCTCTTCGGTCGCGACGGGGCCGGCCCCCCGCCAGCAGGCGCCTCCTTCAAAGCTACCAACCTGCGTCCACAAGCGCGCGTGGCTGCTGTCGCCGGACCTCTTGGAAGCTTCGCGGCAGCTGCGTGCCATGGAGTCCTCAGGTTTGGTCTGAAAGGACGTCGCACGCTCGTAGTAGCGAGGAGCCGCCGCGCCTCTCGTCACAGCGCCTGAACCGCTTGGCACGCCGCTCCCCGCATGCACAGCCCCTCACGTCGCGGCCCCCGCCACTCCTTGCGCACTTCTTTGAATGTCGACCGCTGCGCAGGAAGCGGCGCGCCGGGGGCGCGATGGGAGCCG